AACGAAAGCTAGAAAGTGAGGCTCAAAAAGACACAGGATGGGCTAAAATATAAACTTTTCTGTGAATGGAAACTGACATATAGATACAGTCATGTGCATTATGAATAGTGGGAAAAAAAGTGCCTCTAACATGAATTTACATTATCAAACACACACACATAAATTGTGTCACTGTGGATTAGCTACAAAGTGGATAATATACTCATGGATTATTCAGAGCTGACTATAAATAGTTTAACCCAACCAGGATACTCGATCCTACCAGAAGGTAGTAAATCACTCACTTCTTACAGGCTTAGTATTATTTTCAAGCCACTGCCAGACCACTTAGTACATGAAAAGGAGTCATTTCTTTTTCCTGAGCTTCTTTCTAAGTATTAGTTCATATGTCTGATATATTATTTTTTCATTTTTACAAATAAGACAAAATATAGAGTTTTTGATTTTTGGATAAAATGATTATTCTAATTACCCATTCATTATATATGAATAGACGCGGTGAAATCATTATTGAAAACAAACACAGTTTCCACTGAAAATCAGAGATGTCAAATCATTTTGGAAAGAAAAATGGAAAATTATACAGCAGCCTCTGAAGAAATGCCAGAGACACATAAAGTGATAGTAAAATGGTCTACTTTTTAGATAGATTGCCTTACAGCAAGCAGTTTCAATTTAATATGTATTTTACCTATAAACATTCTACTGGGGTTCCTGTATATATTAGGAAAACATTTTAATCACACTATACCAACTGACCCCCAATATTTATCTCATTTTATATTGTTGGTCTTATATTATAAACTTGATTAATTTTTAGGCTTTTAAGTACTATTTATTAAATTTGGGCTATGACCCACTAAATTAATAAATTATTACAGTGGAGGCACTCTTATCTTCTGAATGTATAAGTACATTACTTAAATTACTCTCAGGGAATAATTTACACATGAAGAGGTTCTGGTAGTTAAAAAAGCTCTGTGTTATTTCTTATCTCTGGAAATAGTCCTGGACTAGGTGTTTAAGTGGATATCAAAACAATTGGGTTTTTCAGAGTCGTAATGATTCTGACTATTCTAGGGTTCCCAATACACTGTTCCAGAATCCTGAATTAAACATAAAAATGTAACATTTTGAACAAAAAATTTCCATAAGAAAACTGGAAACAGTTTCAGCTGAGAGAATATGCTCATGATCTGGAAGTGGCTTAGGATGCCCCATTGTGGGATTTTCTTCCCCTTAAACAGCTGCAATAAGGTGAACATAGAAAACATTTTAGATCAAGGAAAAGGAAATTAGGAATGGGCTGCTATTGCAAGAATGATATGCTGGTTTGTTTGTTTAGTATTAAAAGATAGAATTAAGGGAAATGACTCCTGGCTTCCAGTCTTGTGCCACCGTTTTTCTTGTCCTTGGTCTGTTTGTGTCAAATTCTATGCTGCTTTCTTATATGTGACACACATCTCCATCCCAAAGTTAGGTACTACAAAGTTAAAAAAAAAAAAAAGAAGAAGAAGAGGAGAAGGAGAAGAAAGAAGAAATGGTTTTGGTGAAAATTCTCCCTGGACTGGGTTGTAAGCTCTGTGACATCAGGAATTCTGTCAATCTCATATTCTTAGAGCCTAACTATGTGCCTGGCACATGGAATGGGTGAAAGATGGTATTTGGTAAATGAACATATGGAGGAAGTACATAGATATGGGGGGGGGGAACCCTTAATTATTCTGAGTCTAATTTTTGCAAAATGTCTTTCCCATATCTAGTTTTTTCCATGCACATTTTTTCCCTCTGCAAAATCCATACAGCAAAGAATGGGTAATGGTTAATTTTTATTTATTGCATTTTTGAGTTTGTGTATCAATAATCTATTCTAACAAATAAATAGATAAATTTGTCTTAAAAAGCACCAGGGGCTCTTTAACCCTCTCCTTACTCTTTAAAGGCCCTTATTATGTTCTACCAGAAATATCCAGACTGGCCTCAACTTCCAAAGTAAACAAAACGTTTGAAAAGAAAAATTCTGGAGCCAAATGATTGTGGCCATGGTGGTAATGGTGGTGATAGGGATCAGGAGTTAAGATCTGGCCCAGACACTGATCTCTTTTATTCTTCATTACTCCTTTTATTTGGTATGAAGATGTCAATTGCTTTTCTTTTCTGCTTCTCAAGACTAACCCCATGCTACAGTATGAATTTTGGGAAGATAATTGCTCTTTGGATAGATGGTTTTGCTACTCATCATTTCCTTTTTTAAAACTTATTATTATTTTTTTGGAGCCCTGGTGGCGCAGTGGTTAAGAGCTCGGCTGCTAACCAAAAGGTAGGCAGTTGGAATCCACCAGCTTCTTGGAAACTCTATGGGGCAGTTCTACTCTGTCTTATAGGGTCGCTATGAGCCGGAATCGATTCAACAGCAACGGTTTTTATTTTTATTTTCTTGGTAGTTAGCACTAAACAAGTTTGTCTTAAAATTACGTTTTCTATAATTTCAGCATCAAGTACCTAAAGGGTTGTTGCTCACATTCGTACTCATTTAAAGGGTGGAGATCTCCAGGTATACTGGACACGAAATTAATCTACTGTTATTCCGGTTTTCATTGCTCTTGATAGGCGCTGGTTATAATATGTTATACATAATAAATTGAAAGACTGGCATAAATTCCTTTGCCCAGAAGTTTAATCTAGAGTATTTAGGATTGTGTCTTCTTTCTGTTCTCTACTCCTGGTCTTTTTTGTTGTAAAGAGGTCACTTAAGGACGTCCGTGGAAGGGCTCTGTGCGCCATCTACTGACGGAATTGACGCATCCCGTGTCCGGATATGGGAAACTACCCTATATTAGGTTTTTTAAATTATTCTTTTGAGAAAGGAGAGGTATTGGGAAAAGACCCTCTCTGAATGTATGCTTATCTGTGACTATTGGAATAAATAGGAATTCCACAAACACATAATTCAAAAAGGTGATTTAAATCCTTCTGCACGAGTACAAGTTAAAGACAGAATCCCCAAAGAGCCCTCCTGGCATTGGAAGAAGTTAGTCAAACACTGAAATCACCTCTAACGGGGAATCGGATTGTTGTTTTTCACCTGTGAAAAAGCCTAATGGTTACGGCTTTAGAAGAAATGCCTTTACTAATGGTGCATCCAGAAAACCATGTTTCCAATCTTATCATTCCAGAGGACTTCTCTCCCGTTTATTTTATGAAAAGTTTAATAAGGCATAGCAAGGTAGGTCCACCCTTCACGTAGATACTGCACACACAGCTTGCCAATGTGAACGTAAACATAGTTATAGTTCTTACACACGCACATATAGACACACCTACACCCACAAGGTGATATGCATCTATGTACATGGGTGTTACTTGAGAAATCTTAGCCCTTGGACTTGGATTAAAATGTTTTCCCTCTCAATCGTTTTCTCCACTGTATGCTAATCCTTGTAGAAGGGAGTAACTGGAGCCCTCAAACTAGAAAAGTTTTCTTGGTTGTAATTGGGGGTGAGAAGGTGGGGGAGAGCAATACCAGTTTTAATGGTTCAGACTACTTGAGTTGGAGGCTTGCTGGATTGGAAATTAAAGTTGGCCCCAAGTGGTTCAATTTGATTTCCACTATCTTTTTATAAGCAGCTGTGAGAACTAAAAAATTAACAGCCAGGACCTCGGATGCCCCAGGTAATCTTCCCGCTATTCTGCTCTCCTCAATCCAAGGGCCGAGGATATTTGCTTTCGTGGTTTTAAGAAAGAAAAAGGAAATGAGGAAAGCAAGAAAGGTAAAGAGAGGCAAGTAAAGAGGGAAGGCAAGGAGAAGAGAATGAAGCCAAAGGAACGGTCCAGAAAGAAGTTGGGAGGCAGGGGAAGAAGGGGATAAAAGAAAAAATAAAGAAGGCAAAAAAGGAGTAAGGAGTAGGAAAATGTAAGGCTATTTATTTAACGAAACAAAGCCACACCCCTCTTTCACTTTCAAATCAATTGTCTCGATCTTATTCGTTTCCTTTTTAAAGGTTACGTTTCTAGAGGAAACTAGTCAATTACTCCTTCCCCGTCCCACGCGTGGCCGCGATGCTTCATCCCCGGCCACCGAGACCAAACACAACCCGAGAGGGAACATCTGCAGAAGCGCGACTCTAGGATCACTCCTACGACTGTCGGTTTTCACTCGGGAGCCTAACCAGATTAATACCAGAGATGGATTACGTTGGCTGTCACCAATGCGGCTAAAGATTATAATCCAATTTATGCACATTGCAGTCAGTATTAACTTTATCTGCTATTTTAAGACTCCTAGTCGCCCCGCGCGTCCTCAAAGGACAGTCCACGTTCTGATGCAACCCAGCGGGCTGTCAGGAGGGGAAGCCTCTCGAAGTAAACAACCCCAAGCCTGGTCCCCGAGGGTCTGCACCCGGCACTCCCAGGTGTCTCGCCTTCACCTGGGCACCGCTTTGTGAAGCCTCCCAGCCGGGGATTACCAACGCTGGAGGCGTTCCCTTGGAAGGAAATGGCATTCTTGTTTCTCTCTTGTTCATTTCATTTTACATTTTTGGTGGCGGTGGCAGCAGGGCGGGGAGTGGGGTGGTGGGCGGGTGCCTGTGAGCGGATGGGGTCAGGGGAATATAGCTAGTTAAAAGTCTCAGCAATTGCTATTTTGATGCTTGTTTGTAAGTGTGGCATCTCTCTCTTTTTCTTTAAATAAGTTTGTTAGGGTGTGAGTTCTTGCCTTTTCAGTACAAAAACCACAAAATACGTGGAAGAAAGTGAAAGAACGTCCCCCCTCTTCCCCAAGCGAGCTAACTAACGCCTAAGACTTGATTTAACACCCTTCTGCAGCTGCTGGGGGCTCTAGTAGTGGCTACGTTCCAGCAGTTTTAATCCGTTTTTTATTGTAGGACGAGCGGAGTTTACTCAGGGGCTGGGATGGCTCCCCAGCTGGCCGCTTTCCCTCTCCAGCACCCCCTCCCCGCCCCTCTCTCCACTCTCCCCCACCCCCAGCAGGAACCTGTTACTTTAAGCGCGGCGTTCCGCGGTGGCGGTGCGGGCTGCCGGGGTTTCGGGAGGAAGCCTGTGATTGGCTCTTTCGAGCTCCCCCTGGCTCGCTCGCTCGGCCTCCCCGCGCGCTCCGCCCCGCCCGCGCGCCCTCCCTCCGCCCCTTGAGGCTCGGAGCCCCGGTGTCAGGCGCCACGGCGCATGCTCCGGAATCTCATCTTCTGGCCCTGGAGCTGCTGCTGCTGCTGCTTTTGCTTTTGGGGCTGAGTTTAATAAGCGAGCGAGCAAGCGAGCACGGGGGGAAAAAGGCAGAGAATGTCCGCCATCTACCCTCCGCTCCTAGGCGCGCTCTCATTCATAGCAGCCTCTTCATGAATTACAGCTGAGAGGGGGCGGGGGAGGGGGGGACCACACAGCACCCCAGCAAACCTCCGGGCCCCCAGGCATGGCTAGCTCGGTAAGTACAGGCAAAGATAATAATAAAAGACTCCCTCCCTCCCTCGCCCCGCGCCGCCGCCGCCGCCGCAGCCCAGACAGCGCCAGCGCTCCGCGGTTCCAATTAGATAAAGGTTGGTACGGCTTGTAGGGAGCTACCGCCTCTCCCTCAGCCTCCTCTCCCCTCCCTCGCTCCCCTCCCGGCGCGCACACACACTCACACACACACACACTCACACACTCGCCCCGCCACCCCCCGCGCCTCCCTCCCTCCGCGCCTCTCTTTGCGATCGCAAGAAGCGCACTCACACACTCGCTCTCGCTCACACGCGCGCACTCGCACACACTCACCCTCGGTGGAAGGAGGCGAATAATAACTCAGCCATATTTCAGCCGCCGCCGCTGCCGCCGGGAGCCGCGGGCACAGTCCGGGGACGCGGCGAGCAGCCTCGGCGGCCGCAGCTCCGCGAGGCGCCGCGGCCGCGACCATGGTGCGTTCTCCGCGGCGCGCGTGCGAGCGGGAGTGTGCGGGTTGACAGCGGCGGGGAGCACGCAACTTTGCCCCCGCGCCGGGCGCTGCGCAGCCGAGGCTCGGCGCCGGTCCGCCCGCCGCGCTGCCTTGCTGCATCTCATTTTGGGGGGGAAGTGGGAGGTACTTTAGGGCCACTTTGGCTCTTGGAAGTGTGTGGCGGGTGCTCTGGGCGGCTGGCCTCGCCGTTCGCCGGGGGCTATTCGCTTGGGGGGTGCGGGGTGCTTTAAGTTATGGATGCCTCGGCGTGTTTCCCTGCGGGGTGTGTGTATGTGTGTGTTTGTTTGTGACGATGTCTTATTTTTATGGTGCACTAGCCCCGGGGCAGGAGCCCGGGAGTTTGTGCCCATCAGCAGAGGCTGCCTGTAGTTTCCATTCCGCCTGGCACAGCACTCCACACGCACGCACACACACACACACACGTACACAAAGACTTCCTCGGCGTGTGCCTGTCGCCGCGGTACTTTCCGGGAGGGGGCTTGCCAGAACCACCCCCCGGGGGTCCTAGCCAGCTCCCCTCCCACGCCGGGAAACCGCCCCGGCATTGCCTCCTTAATTGTCTTCTAATTTGTTTCCGATGCATTTGTTGTCGTGCTTGTCGTGGCTGAGTGTGCTCTCCCCCCACCCCGCGACCCCCTTCCCAGCCGGGGTAACACGGGGGATGACATTCCGTTACAATCCGGCCGGTGTAGCTGCGGGGCCCGAGGCGGGGCCGGGCGGGCGGGGTGTATTTGGGGGTGTGCGCGCCCACGCGCGTGGAACGTGGATGCACAGGGCACCGCCGTTTCCTTTTATGTGCCTTTCAAGGAGGAGGAAAAAAATGTCAGGCGCAATGTTCAGTGCCACACGGCCGCCTTCCTGTTGTTCACGGCTGTCTCTCCTCCCCCTGCCCGCAGTGTGCCGTGCAGGTGAAGCTGGAGCTGGGGCACCGCGCCCAGGTGAGGAAGAAACCCACCGTGGAGGGCTTCACCCACGACTGGATGGTGTTCGTGCGCGGCCCGGAGCACAGTAACATACAGCACTTTGTGGAGAAAGTCGTCTTCCACTTGCACGAAAGCTTTCCTAGGCCAAAAAGAGGTAGGGCTCGAATACAAAAGGGGCTTGATAAAAAATGTCCTGGCTCGCGCTGGAAACAATCGCTGGGCCCCGGCGGTCCCCCGGCCCGCCCCCCCACTTCCCCCACCGCGCCGCGCGCACTGGCTGGAGGAGCCTCGGGACCCGGGTGTGCGGCGCGGGTCTGGGCTCCCGCCCCCCGCGCGCGCGCCTTTGGCTCCTTGAAAGTCACCGCAGAGAAAGGACCGTCAGGTGTTCAGTGTTTATTCATCCCCAGCCAGCCCTCGCCAGTCCTCTGGGGTTAGCCACGGGATCTCTGGGAAAGGTGCAATTAGTTGTTGGGGTTGGAGATGTGGGGATCGAGGCTGGAGGCAGTAAACGGCTCGTGCCTCTTCATAGAGAAATTGAGATTTACCTGTGTTATTAGCAAAGAATACATTGGATGTAGTTATTGTTCCGTTTGGAGAAGTGGACTCCCTGTAGGGTCTTCTCTGCCTTCCTGTGTGTGTATGAGACACTGGGTGCCATTTGCCATAGACTTTTCCTATTAGACAACTTCCCCCACTCCTCCGTTGTCAGGATTTAAAATTGGGGGGCTTACTCGTTCCTGGCCCTCGATGGCACTTGATTGCCTGTTAGATTCTGAGCAGGGTTCCCAAGTGTCTGCCCGATGTGATCTGCAGGGAAGAGGGTCCCTGGAAAGGTCGAAGCTAAGTTTTAGAGGAATAGTGTTGTGTGTATGTCTTCTGCTTAGTCCTTCCCCACCTTGGTTCTTAGCCTTGCTGTCTAGTTTGCATAATTCTGCTCAGCCTCTGTGGTCCCAAACATTTTCCATAAAGGGCAGGACAGTTTTGAAAAAAAGAAACGAATTGTCATTTGCAAAGATATTTAAAGAGGGTTCGAGAAACCCCAATTTCAATTTCCTCCAACCTCTGGGAAGCTACTGTCTGGTTGTTTTAGTTGGATTAGTGGAGGTAACAGTACAAATACAATAAGGTGCTTTGTTTGTGAGCAGGTTTATTTATCTTAAGTCGACACAATGGTTAGTAGTTATCTTCCATTTGATCTGTAATCTTTATTGGCATCTAGAACTCCTGCAGTTTCTTAGAGCAACATCATAATAAATTCCATTCTGCTTAGAGCTCTGTGGAAATTATTGAACATTCAGGAGCTGAATAAAGAAAGGAGAAATGTGTGTGCCTTAGAGGTGGCAGAGGTTGGGGTTGATGCTTATTTTTGTTTCCAAAGCTCGTGTAATGGGGAAGTAGGATTGTGTTTTTTTGCTGTTAGTGGTTTGGTTTATAGCTCCTCTGGAAAACTTGAACAGTTAAATTTGATGGGCTTTGTTGGATGATTAATAAATGAATCCACCTTCTAATAAAGGGGTAGGAATATACATTGGTTATAGGGAAAAAAATTTAGATTTTACCACCGTTTTATGTAAAAAAAAATATAGCCAGAGATATTATACTTTATATTTCCTTAAAGATGTGATAAAATTGAGTATTGTCAAGTTTCTGTCACTATATGAGGTTAGGTATGATTCGTCTTGGTATCTCTCTCGCTCTCTCTCTCTGCTTTCCATGTGTCTATAGAGCCACTCCAGAGGAGTTTAAACAAAAGAAACCACCTTCTAAGATCCTTGGTATGCACTATTACTGCTATTTGCCTGCTATTCACTTCAAGGTGAAATACACTTAATAAAAAAGCAATATTTATTGTGTTGGGAAAATTAACTCAGTTGGCAACAGGTATAGCTATTAAGGCAACTTTGTTTAGACTCCTTTACAATCAACACATTGGCATTATGAAATTAGAGATGATCAACCTCTTCCATATTTCACAGTTGTTTGTCTGCTTTAGTGGGTGTGTGTGGTGACATCCCCTTTATTTCCCATACTTAATGATTTTCTGTCCAGCCTGAGGGAACTCAGGGGTGCTGCCCACACATCCCACACCTGGGAGTTGTTGCTAGGCATGGTAAGCCGCTTGATAACAGTGATTTCTTCTCAGACATCTCTAGTGAGAGATGTCTGCTTGTTGGTTGAACTCTTCAGTTTTTATTCTCAACTGTGGAGTTTCTTTAGGCAGCCTGTAAGCCATTGTTTTAAAATGTTTATTTTTGGATTTTTATTTGTATGTGTGCTTTCCATGCTGTGACAAGTCCTGGGAAAAATGCCAGCTTACATAGCCCAGGAGAGACCTTGTCACACTGTAATTACACATGATTCAGATCGCAAGAGAATGTTTCTCTGTTCGTTGGGAATAGTTAGTTGTACGGTTGTATGTTCAAGCAACACCAAACATGTCACTTAATCCTGGGACTTATTTTTTGGTTTATAGGGTCTTTCAAAATGACAAGAATAAATACAGAATAAGAATGCCAGACGTTTCTAAGTCTACCTCTGTACCTTTTAAGGTGCTATACTTGGTATGTTGTTGACCTATCAGTGATAGGGTAAAATTTTAACCATTGAAAATGGGAGAAACTGCAAAAATGAGTTTGTGAAAAATCTGAGTAACAAAATATTTAAAAAGAAATGCACGTACTTTAAGTTAAGCTGTGAATGGTCATTAATAATGATAAGTGAAATCACTTACGCCATATACAGTAGCATAAACAGAGAGGAACCTTAGAATTGAGGATAAATTGCTCAGCTGGAAAGATGGATGAGTCCTTAGTTTCATAATTCTTTGGTTTAAAAAAGTGAATTGATTTTCAGGTTGATTTCCTTCGCTTCACAGTAATATTATGAGAACTTGTAGAGGAAGAAATTATAGTATTTTCAACTTGTTGCCTAATGAGAATTACATATACCATTTCAGAATTGAGCTAATTGGATTTGAATTAATGAGGTTTTACTCTGCCACCAAGATGTGTGGGAGACCTTCATTTAAAAACTAGTACTAAGTCCTAGAAAAGAGATCTTGATGAAATAGTGAAGCCTGGAATATCCGTTAGCTGTTACAGAATAGGCAGGTCAGAGTCTGATGCATTTTTAAACTGTCTACAAAAAAAGTCCATATCTTATTTATTAGTACCAAAGATTTATAATAGTCTGATATGACTGAAAGGAATGGTCATATTCAAAACATTTCATTTAAAATATTAATAATTTCATTTTCAGTATGTGAATTTAAGTGAACTTATCTTTCCAAGTACAGCCATCCTTACTCTTGCAATCTGTTCCGTTGACATTTCTGATATAAAGTCTGTTGCTTATTATTCTGTGTAAGCTAATTTGGCCACTGGTGTGATTTGATAGCTTTTTATTTGAAGGCTTTGTCCTTTGAGTGGGCAGATAAAGCATAATAAATTAACACATAACTTTACTCTGATTTAAGTGTTTGAGCCCAGCTTTACTGCCTAGTTCTGATTTGTGTTAAATGGGTCTTCTGAAATAATTTGGATAGCTTTTTATCAGAGTATCTAATATTTGAGGGTTTATTATTTGCAAGATACTATGTGTACTTGGCGTATTTTCTCTTCTGAGGTGTTTAAAAGATGTAAGGAGAAAATGAAGATGGATGATTATACTGACACATTCAGCAAGTGCTATAAGATTTTTGTACAGTTCTGCATGGAATTAAGATGACCTGTGAGAACAATTTTACTACTTGGCATTTTGAAGCAACATAAACTATTATAATTTTCACTGGCACTTAAAAGCTGAACTATTGGAGGTACTCTCACATGCTTTTGTGGAAATGTAAACTGGGTACGAACTTTTTTTGGAGGGCGTTAGGCAAAATTCATTAAGATTTTTAATGTTTATACCCTTTGACCCAGCGATTTCATTGCTAGGAATTTTCCTACGGGTAATGACTTCATAAGTGCATAAAGATACTGCATATTTCTTGGGGCTGTCTTTGTGGTCACAAAATTTTGAAAGTAAGCCATATAGGAGACCCCAACTGGGTACATTTCAGTGATGGTACTCCATAAAAAAAGAGTAAAATTTATTTATAGATGCAAGATATTTAGAGGTATTAAGTGAGATAAAACAAGTTGCTAAATCAGTATGATTCCATTTAAAAAATATGTTTATACAGATACAAGTATGTATTTGTGTGTGTGTGTCCATATGTGTGTGTAGAAATAAATTCTGCAATAGTGAACACCAAACTTCCCAATGGTTTACTTTCGTGGGTTCTTGTGGTGTTGGTGGGACATTTTTGTAATGTTTGATTTTGTAAAAAGTGTTAATTATATATTCAAAACAGTACAATGAGAATGCGTTTTTAAGATGGAAAGACAAACAGTAAATAACCCAGATAGAGTTCTGTCTTTTTAACAAGGTTTAGCATGTAGCTGTCTAAAAGTGATCTTTAACCATCTTGGACAGATATTGTTGCTTAAGGGTGAGGAGGAATTTGGGTTGGGAATTACAGACTTATATTCATATGCTGACTTAAGAGACTCCTTGTGTGTTCTTGGGCAAGTTACTTCTGTGTGTATTTTCTCATTTATGTTATGGACATGATAATAGAATCCAACCATTACCTCATAAGTTGAGGATTAAATATAAATCAGTCATCTCAAAGTTATTGGTTGTAAGACCCCTTTACACTCGTAAAAATTAGGACCCCCCCAAAAGCTCTTTCTACTTAAGTTGTATAATATTTACTGTATTAGACATAAAAACAAGACACTTTAAACAAATTATTACTTTGTTTAAAAATAATAAACCTGTTACATGTTAACACATAAATAACATTTTAGTGAAAAATACATATTTTCTAAAACAAAAAGAAATTACGAGAAGAGTGGCATTCTTTTATATTTTTTAAAGCTCTTAAATGTCTGGTTTAATAGAAGACAACAGGATTTTCTTATCTGCTTGTGTATTCGTTCTGTTGTGTTATCACACGCCATGTAGGCTCTGGAAGACTCCACTTACACTCATGAGAGTGAAAAAGAGCAAATAACATCTTAGAGTTGTTATGAAAACAGTTTTAATTTCTCCAGTCCCCTGAAAGGGTCTTGAGGACTCCTAGGAGTTCTAGGAACCCCTGATATAAAA